GAGTGAAAATAGTTTTGACTCATATATCTGCCAATTGACTTGTGTCAGAATAAAGAACTCTTTCAATTCAACAATAAAAAGACAAATTACCCAATTAAAAAGTGTACAAAGGATCTGAGCAGACATCTCCAAAAAAAAATAGAGGACAACACGCACATGAAAAGATGGTCAGGAAAATACAAATCAGAACCACAGTGAACTATCACATCACCCCCGCCCCCAGGATGTCTATAAACAAAAAGACAAATAATAGCAAGTGTTGGCCAGGAATTTGAGACATTATTGCCCTCATTTGTTGCTGGTGGAAATCTAAAGTGGTACAGAGCCTTGGAAAAGGGTTTGGCAGTTCTTCAAACTTTTTTTTTTTTTCTTGAGACTGGGTCTTGCTCTGTAGCCCAGGCTAGAGTGCAGTGGTGCAACCACAGCTCACTGTAGCCTCTAACTCCCAGGCTCAAGTGATCTTCCACCTCAGGCTTTGAGTAACTGGGATTACAGGTGTGCACCACCATGCCTGGCTAATTATTTTATTTTTTTTATATCTGCAGGGTTTCACTTTGTTGCACAGGCTGGTCTTGAACACCTGGGCCCAAGGGATCCTCCCACCTCAGCCTCCCAAAGTTTTGGGGTTACAGGCATGAGCCACTATGTGCAGCCTCTTCAAACTATTAAACATAGTTACCATATGATCAGCATATTCACTCCAGATGTATACCCAAGAGAAATAGAAGCATGTTCACATAGACATTTGTATGCTAATGTTTATGGCAGCAGCATTCCTGATAGCCAAAAGATGGAAACAACCAAATGTCTCTCAACAGACAAATGGGTAAACAAAATGTGCTGTATTCATACAATGAAATATTACAGTTAAAATATATACAATTTTAGCTGTAAAAAGAAGTGAAGTACTGTACATGCTTTATTTAACATGGATGAACCTTGAAAACATTATACTAAGTGAATGAAGAGTCAGAAAAACACACACACATACACAGGCCCACACAGTATATTATCCCATTCATATGCACATCCAGAAAAGCAAAATCTATAGAAACAAAGTAGATTAGTGATTGATTGGGACTGGGGATGGAGTGAGGAAGGTGGAGTGTTACAGTTAAAGATACAAGATTTCTTTTTGAGGTGGTAAAATGTTCTAAAATTGACTGTGGTGATGATTGCACAAATCCCTGAGTATATGAAATTCATCAAATTGTACACTTTCAATGATTGAATTCAAGTGGTGGTATGCTGTGTAAAGTATATATATGAAAGCTGTCAGATTCATCATGGAGTCACTTGTGTCAAAGCCTGGCAAAGCAGAGCTGGGGGAAGGTCATAAAGTGGGGGCTCTCACGTATGATTTGCCTGATTACAAGGACCAGCACAAGAAATTTTTCTAAACTTTTCTAAATTTTTCTAAACTTCATAAGGCACACACAAGGACAGCTAGCCATTTATACAAGAACATTTGCCAGACAAACTGTCTCACAGGCCAAATCCAAACTGCAAGAGTCTAACCATAAAACTACAATTGCAAGTCCTACCTTGAAATTTACTGAGACTCACCAGTCAGAACTCACCAGCTCTTATATAAGATGCTCCAGTGCCAGTAAGCTTTCTTTGAAAACAACTTGCATAACCTCCTCTTTGCCCAATAAACCCCAGCCTTTCTTTTGTTTTCCAAACATACCAGGGACCACCCTGTTCTCTATGTGCATTCCAGATAGCAATTCTGTTTCTTGTATGTTATTCCCCAATAAAACCTTGTTACTTAGGAGATATGTCTCTCTCTATTTTTTATGTTGACATATCTTTTATTTTTTAAGTTGACATATAATATTTGTACATATTTATGGAGTACAGAGTGATGCCGTGATACATGTAATGTATAGCAATCAGATCCAGGTAAAAAGAGAATGGTATAAGAGGAGATAGATTAAATTATTCTGGGAATTTTTGATTAAAAAAGAAAAAAGGAGTGACGCTACCTCTTTCATTGAAATAATAAGAAAATCACAGTGAACAGATGAAGTTATAAGATGGGGGGAAAAAAACCGCAAGAAGTGCCAAGTTAAGGAAGGTCATGGCCAGTGGTTTTGGTCTTAGGGTAAAACAGAGACAAAAGTCACCTATAAAGATTGAAGGGTTGCAAAGTAGAATTTTAGGTTATTACTTTGAGCTTCAGGTCTCTTGGTATTAAAGGGATTTGTATAAATGTCCAGTAGAAATCATTTACTTTTTCTCTGCAGTACTTGGCCAGCTTAGCAGCAGACACATCTCAATAAGATTTTCTTAGGGCTTTGAAAGAAAGGCGAATTGGAAAAATTGAGGTGCTAATGAGAGCACCCTGAAATGATGGCTATGGAAAAAAGGATGACATAGACCTGGTGGGCTGATGGAAACTAGAAGCAGGAAGGGGTCACGTAGCATAGATTACAGTGAAGTCAAAAAACAAGTTATTTAGAGTAAAATATACTACCCTTATAGATATACAAAGCCCAGCACGACTCGGTCCATCTTGTACTACCCTCCTGTTACTTGATCCGCTCCTCTGGCCAACACAGCCAGGCATATTCTGTCTTCAGGGCCTTTATACTTGCTGTTCTTTCCTCATAACAAGCAATTTCCCTGAAAATTCTACACAATTTGCTCCCTCCTTTCCTTCAGGGCCCCTCAGGAAGCTTTCCACTGATCTAAAATTGGATGAAAAAGGAAAAAAGACTTAAACATTATTCTCTATCTTCCTTGCTTTATTTTTCTCCTAGCACTTACTGTTATCATATTCCATATTTAACTTACTTTAATTTTATATTTTTGTGTATATCTCTCCTGTTACTATGTAAGCTTTAAGAAGACAGGGATTTTTTTTTTTTTTTTTTGACAGAGTTTTGCTGTGTCTCCCAGGCTTGAGTGCAGTGGTATGATATTGGCTCACTGCACCCTTTGCCTCCCAGGTTCAAGCGACTCTCCTGCCTCAGCCTCCTGAATAGCTGGGATTGCAGGCACATGCCACCATGCCACCAGGCCCGGCCGGGAATTTTTTTTAAAACCAAGTTCTGTACTATATTTCTGTACCTAGGAAATACTTGGCAAATATTACAGAGACTTAATATTTGTGGAAGAAAAAATAGAGATAGAAGGTGGGGCATGTGGAAAGTTTCCTTTAAGCTTGAATATCTTAGAGCTGGAGCAGTTCAAAATGAGGACTCAAATTTGGAAGCCCCCCCTAGTAAAGCCAAAATAAAGGTTATTATAAATGTAGACTTTTAATATAGGACAGGTTTTAGAAAACTTGACATTGTAGTCACCAAAGATCTTTGCAGTAGATATGGAGAACAGGAAAGTGTTAGTTCTTATAATTCAGTGCCAGGATTTCTGCAGAAGTGGAAGAGGCTTCTAAGGTCAGTAGACGACATGAGTAAAAATAGTGACATTTAAATAGATGGCTTGGACTTCAACAGAGGATTGCTTCAGACAGATTTAGATACTAAGTTCTTTCATGCTCCCATTGTGATCTTGGTATCTTCATCTATTATAGAAATTATAATTAGCATTTTACCTGCCAATTTCTTCACAAGACTGTAAAGCACTCTTTATCTCCACAGCACTTAACAAAGTGCCTGGTGCATAGTATTCTCAGTAAATATGTGTTGAGTGTAATACTTACTGAATGAGAAAATATTAAGAGATAACTATGGAATTATGATGTAGGAGCCAAGAGCATTCTGATCTCTAGGTCTTATCAGTTGACCAGAAGGGTGAGAAAAAGAGAGAGCCAAGTTTCATATTCATGAAGGAGCAGGTCAGATGTTTTAAAGGTTAACATTTTGATGAAGGGATATTCTTTATAAAAGAAAAAAGACAATGCAGAAGCTGGTAGAAGGATTATAAACAGGTGGGATGTGAGAAGACAATTACAGGAGAAAGGAAACAGATGAAAATAATGGTTATAGGCATTTGATAGTAATTGTTGAAGGAAAAATGTAAATCAAATAGTTGATAGCTAAACAAAAATCAGCATGAACTATTAAAGATATGGGAAGTGCAAGCAGGCAAGAAATATTTCTCAGGTTAAGTTTGTGAAGAATATTATAGAACAAAGTATCATAGAATTCCAGTTGGGAGTATTTATGTGATTTTAAGAGTTTCACAAATATTTTTATTTTGTCTTGACTCTTGTTAGTAACACAAAAAAGGAAAATGTAAAAACCTAGGTCTGTACACTTTCCTCAGATAGTGAGCTTTGTTGGGGAGGCAGCTGTGGATGGAAAGGGCTAAGGTAATGGAGCAGGTCTCTGCAGGCTGTTCTCTCTTTGTATGCTTTGGTAAGTCTATAAGCAGGATTTGCAAATAAAGACATAACCTCCATTAGCATTAATAGGATTTTACTGTTATTCTTTTAGTTTCAGGAAACAGGTAATACATTAGGTATTCATGTGTATTATTGAATACACATGAATATGTTATTCAGTTATAGCGGGGCGTCAACGTAGAAATTAAAATGTTAACACAGGTTGGGTGCAATTGCTCACACCTTTAATCCCAGCATTTTTGGACCCCAAAGTGGGTGGATCACTGGAGGTCAGGAGTTTGAAACCAGCCTGGCCAACATGGTGAAACCTCATCTTTACTAAAACTACAAAAATTAACCAGGCATGGTGGTGGGCACTGTAATCCCAGCTCTTTGGGAGGCTGAGGCAGGAGAATTGCTTGAACCCAAGAGGTGGAGGTTGCAGTGAGCCAAGATCGCAGCACTGCACTCCAGCCTGGGTGGCAGAGTGAGACTCTGTCTCAAAAAAAAAGTTAATGTAGTCCTAAATGTTTAATTATGAAATGTATTTGTAAATATGTACATTGTAAAACAAACTCTTTTCTTTTTGTTAGTATAGAGTTACATTTTTATGGGAGATGCATTTTTTAAAAAGGTATTTATAGCCTGATACAATAGCATTTAGTTCTGTTCAATTTAAGTTAGTTTTTTAAAAATTTTGTTTCTACAGTCCAGAAAAGGCTTTGAAAGACTCACTACAACCCTATGAGGCTGCTTATCTATCAAAATCCTTATCTCGACTCTTCGATCCTATCAACTTGGTTTTTCCCCCAGGTGGTCGTAATCCTCCTTCCTCTGATGAACTTGATGGTATCATTAAAACTATAGCAAGGTACGTATTTTTTATATGTGGCATGCCATAAGATGACTGCCATATTTGTTAGTGATATATGATAGCAGTACATTTTTAATTTATTTTTAAATTATTCAAGTAATTACCCCCACAATTCAAAGTTTCACAGCAAATGAATGCACACATAGTAAGTACTTGAGATTCCAATTAATGAAATAATTTAAATACCTTAAATATAGTCTAAAAATAGTTAATTACTCTGTATCTTGCCAAGGATGCAAAGTAAGCCTAGCTCTTCCCAGTAAATTTCTTACATTACACAAGAAATTAAATATAATAAATGATTTTATAAATTGAGAAACTAAAACATACAGGTTAATTTTTTAAATCCTAACCTCCAGAAAGTGCTTCATGGCAGAAATAGGAATATAGTCTTGATTAGCCTACTTGTGTTTGCTATTTAAAGCTTTTTAAGTGAATGTGACAGCTTTTAAGACTCTAAAAAGGGAAGGTATCCTAGCAGAGGTGCCACCTGAATGCCTGCAGACAATGTAATTATATACTGTTGCCTTTACACGTTTACATTTAAAAGTTATCCAGACTAATTTGCAGTTGAAATTATCTCAGTTTCTGTCATGACTAACAAGTTGTCATAATAGTAGAACTGTGCATTTGAGATGGACATTTTAAGGAATAAAAAATAGTATAAGACCAAGGTCTAAAATCTTTTAAAGATTTGAAGATGGTGATTCTGAGGCGTGGAAGGGTAAGACTAAAAAGCCACAGGTGGCCGGGCATGGTGGCTCACACCTATAATCTCAACGCTTTGGGAGGCAGAGGTGGGTGGATCACCTGAGATCAGGAGTTCAAAACCATCCTGGCCAACACAACGAAACCCCATCTCTACTAAAAATACAAACATTAGCTGGGCTTGGTGGTACACACCTGTAACCCCAGCTACTTAGGAGTCTAAGGCACCAAAATCGGTTGAACCTGGGAGGCAGAGGCTACAGTATCCTGAGATCGCGCCACTGCCCTCCAGCCTGGGTGACTGAGCGAGACCTTGTCTCAAAAAATAAATAAATAAATAAAAGTAAGCCACATGTATAAAAATATACATAAGGGTATCTTTTGCTGCAAATGTACCTATAAATTGTCCAGATTGCCCAGCATCTAGGTCCTAAGTCTCTCCACAATTGCTTTGACTTTCCACGGTTCTGACTTTAGGCCCTAGTAACTTGATCTCTTTGACCTGTTTAAGTAAATGTTAAAGAGGCATCTCTCCCATTCCTCTATGCAACTTGTCAATGCTGTAATCAAATATAATCTACAGCTGGAAGAATCGTGCTTATGCTAGCATTTGATAAAATTTAAAAGTGAACATTAACAAAATTATGTCTCAATACTATATGAAAGTGCATTTTTGTTACAAATAGTATGCACTCACTTGCATTGTTTAAAACTCTTCCAACTTTTTTAAAAAGAAAATCTGGTAAGTGCCAAGATTTACTCTACTGTTTCAGGGACAATAATTACTTTTCTTGCCTTCCATCTGTATATGGGTTTCCATATGATTTTTAATTTCTAGCATTCATTGCATGGTCTTTGTAAATACCTGTTTTTTTGGCAGTCAGATCAAATGACCCAGTCAATCCAGTGTTAAAGTTGAAGCATGAAAAAAAAATACTTTAAGAATACAAATTTTTTAAATGTGGAATTATAGCCCTGTTATGCTTTTATATTATTTAAAAAGTTACTCTATTCGAACTGGCATGAATTGGCATAATTTCTACAAAAACTGAGTATATATCATCTATAATTTACATTTTTAGCCTATGTCCCTTCAAGGTCATCATTTCCATTCAAAAGCTGTCATTTCCTTGCAGATGTGTATGATATGCAATGCCTCTAATTGCACTTATCAGTATTAGCAAGAGTACTACTTTAATCTGTTCACAATTTACTCTCTTAATCACGGACTGAACCCACACATGACATGCTTTTATTAATGAGAAACTGGTCATTAAGGAAGCTATCTCCAGGCACTTTTGCCTGGTACTGAATTTAGGGGGTAAAATGAAACAAGGCAACCAGTTCTTGGAAGCAGTGAACTCTATAAAAAGAATAACCACATTGCTTATTGGGTTTGAGTTTTTATCTTGCTCTTTACTTTCTTGATGAACTATGTTGCTAATATTTAAAAACCGTTTTTATTTTCTCCAGTGAACTAAATGTTGCTGCGGTTGATACAAACCTCACATTAGCTGTGTCAAAAAATGTGGCAAAGACCATCCAGTTATACAGCGTAAAATCAGAGCAGCTTGTAAGTGGTATCCTTTATCTGTAAACTTTAATGATTTTGTTTAAAATTACTAACTATATGATGCTTGACCACAAATACTGATTTAGTTCCATTTTTACTATAGTGAAAGTTTGTAACTTTCTGATGAATTTAAACCAGAAAAAAAAATTCTGTTAACAAAAAGTGGCGCTCCTACACATTGTCAATATATATACTTTCAGAAGACAGGCAAGTTTAATAAGGTTTTTTTTTTTTTTTTTTAATGTATGTGCCAATTTATGGGCTGATTATATATTTTTAAATATTTTAAATAATTTACATAAATTATAATTATACTCAGTCAAATTTTCCCTTTTGTGTGACCACTCACTCCATGTATTATTTATACAGTCACCTAGTGTGAAATTGACTTGAACTGTTAGAAAACTATTGGAGGAAGTAAAGTATGTAAAATTTTAGCAGAAAAATGTTTATTTACTTTTTAAAGATTTCAACCTTAGAGCCTGAGAGTTTAACCCTGAAATTATTCTGTTTGACATAGCTATATGCATGAATTTAAAATAAGTACAAAACTGAATCATACTCTTAATTCTATACATTAATGCTTTAAAGTTAAGCACACATATTTCACTAGTATATATGTATGCTAACTGAAATCCAAACAAAATGAGACATCAATATATTTTTTGATATTACTGATATGCTAATTTTAGATACTGTGTCAAAATCTGTTTGTCTCCACTATCTTTAGAATGTTAGCCAACTACATTTTCAGTTTATCCTCTCTGGCTAGTCCCAATTGAAACATTGTAATAAATGTAATAATCTATTTTTACCTATATCCAAGTTGTTTCAGTTTGTTCTGCGATAATTTTTAGGGTAGGTTGGTGACAAACTGAAGGATTTGCACAAAATGATCCTTGGGGGTACCAGTCATGTTATGAGGCTTTCTACTTTCAGTTCCCATGGATGGACAGATTTTGTTTGCAAATATGGTGCTATTTTCCATTCAGTTGATCTTGTAGTCTTGACAAAAATCATCTTAGAAGCACCTTCTTAAAAAAATTATTGAAAACTAACCATACAGAGACATGAAAGCTCTTTGTAGGCAATTACTATTAATTTAGATTACTATTTTATTCTCAATCTTTGTTTAAAGATGCTTTATTGTAATGTTCATTGCTTCCGAAACAGTTATTTCTAGAAATAAAATTCAGTATTGTATCTAGTAGAGTTTAGTGTAGTCACTGACAATGTCGAGACTTGAAGATAACACCATAAGAAAGGTGCAGCATATATATAGAAAGTACCTTGTGTTGAGGGTGGGGCAGGACAGTGGTAATGGTAACAGGTACCTCAGTTAATAGAGTAATGCCAAAAGACTTAGACAAAATCAAAATATATCTACAAACATTTGACTGAGTTGATAATGTTGATCAAATCATCTGTGGCTATAAATTAGTTTGGCCTACCTAATCTACCTGCAGTGTTGAAGACTAACAGAAAGTCATTGGCATTTTTTGTTTTTTAGTTGAATTATTTCTTTTTTTATTAAAAATAGTTTTATTTTTCAATTTTCATTTTAGTGTATAAGGGAAACCTAAGTATTAAATAAGATTATCAAAAGCATCATATGCTTTATTTTTAACAGTATATTATTGACTAATGTCTTAGGTAACAACTTGCTGTTAATGTTCATTTCTTGGCGTTTAATAACTCTGCTCCTCTGTGTTTGGAAATTATACATGTTTTGTTTTTTAATCTTTACAAATATTTCTTTTCTTTTAGAATAATTTGACAAAAAATTTAGAAGAAAATTGCCAAATAGTAAATCTTTAGTGGAAGAAAGACTTGAAACAGATTTTTTAATTGGTTAACTACTCTGCCTATAAGTGGAAATGTTGACTTAAGATTTGATATGAAAATTAAATCAATCAGTGGGAGATTATTTTTGAAGGTGAAAAATTTAAGCCTCAGGTCCACAAGATTAAGAAGTGACAGAATCTGTTGTTTACTGACTTTTTAATCATCACCATTCTAATGTGTGAGATGGTATCTCATTGTGGTTTTGTTTTGCCTTTCTCTAATGACCAGTGATGATATTTTTTTTCATATGTTTGTTGGCTGAATAAATGTCTTCCTTTGGGAAGTGCCTGTTCATATCCTTCGCCCACTTGCTGATGGGGTTGTTTTTTTTTCTTGTAAATTTGTTTAAGTTCCTTGTAGATCTGGGTATTAGCCCTTTGTCAGATGGACAGATTTGCAAAAATTTTCTTCCATTCTGTAGGTTGCCTGTTCACTCTGATGATAGCTTATTTTGCTGTGCAGAAGCTCTTTAATTAGATCTCATTTGTCAATTTTGGCTTTTGTTGCCATTGCTTTTGGTATTTTAGTCAGAAAGTCTTTGCCCATGCTCACTGCAACCTCCACCTCCCAGGCTGAAAGGATCCTCCCACCTCAGCCTCCACGTATGCCAGCATACCTCACTAATTTTTGTTATTTCTTGTAGAGATGATGGTCTCACCTTGATGCCCAGGCTGGTTTCAAACTCACGGGCTCAAGTGATCCACAGTGTTAGCCTCTTGAAGTACTGGGATTATAGGCATGAGCCACTGTACCCAGCCACAAGGAAAAATTTGAATTAGTGTTTTCCTTATCCTCTGTGTGTTAAAAGGAAACTAAAATATTAGTATATAAGGGAACTATTGTGACACCTTTAAAATTTATAGGCTTGTAAACTTTTTTGATACCAACATTGGAGGCAAATAAACAATTAAGTATTCCTTTTAAAAGCTGAAGGGTATTTTCCAACAGTAATCATTATTTAACAGTTCCAGGGAATGGCATCTAGGATCTTAGTGTAAATGTGAAATGTTATGAACTGTGAGAAAGGAGATTGGCATTTAATTAGGTTGCAGACTATTTGAAACAATAAGAGGAATGACATTTATAAGGGAGGTCTCAACTTCAATGCAGATCAGTAGCCATGTATGAAGTCAATAGTTGTTGACAGTAAGGTTTTATTTTAAGGCTTTGTAAATATACACTTTATTCTTAATATAAATTCATAAGTTAGTTGGAGACTTGACATTCCTATAATGGAAAAAAACATACATGTGTGATATTTAAACAGTGTGGAAACATATGAACTCAAATATGAGTTCAGTTTTTTTGTTGTTTGTTTGTTTGTTTTTTGAGACAAGTGTTGCTCCGTTTCTCAGGCTGGTGTGCAGTGGCACTGTCTCAGCTCACTGCAACGTCTGTCTTCCAGATTCAAGTGATTCTCCTGCCTCAGCCTCCTGAGTAGCTGGGATTACAGGTGCACACCACCATGCCTGGCTAATTTTTTGTATTTTTAGTAGAGACAGGGTTTCACCATGCTGGCCGGGCTGGTCTTGAACTCCTGACCTGGTGATTAGCCTTCCTTGGCCTCCCAAAGTGCTGGGATTACAGGTGTGAGCCACTGTGCCGGGCCTCAATTTTTTTTTTTTTTAGCTTTAAAAGTATTGGCTGGGTATGGTGGTTCACAAGTATAATCCTGGCCAAAATGGGGAAACCCATCTCTACTGAAAATACGAAAATTAGCCAGGGATGGTGGCATGCCAGGAGAATTGCATGAACCCAGGAGACGTAGGTTGCAATGAGCTTAGATCATGCCACTGCACTCAAGCCTGGATGACAGACCTAGACTCCGCCTCAAATAAATAAATGAGTGAGTGAATGAATGAATGAATGGAATGTATTATTTAATGGAGATTTTAATGTCATTTACATGGAATATCACCCCATATATTACATGGTAATTGCTTATGTTGTTAATACACAAATATGAAATCACTTGGAAGAGTTTTTATATTATGTGCAAACAAATGAAACAAATCAGTAGTGTCTCTTTGACCAAATGCACTTTAGCTATAATACAAACACACGAATACCTTTGAATTACCTAGCTAGAGTCTTGATCCTTTTTTTTTTTTTTTTTTTAAGCTATGGGATTCTCACTATGTTGGGCAGGATGGCCTTGAACTTTTGGCCTCAAGCAACCTCCCACCTTGGCCTCACAAAGGGAACCACCACGCCTGGCCCACTTGATCCTTTAGATAGCCTTCCACTCTTTGTTACCTCTATTCTTACTTTGGACTATTTTAGGGTCACTTCATCCTTTCTTCAAGATAGCTTTCTGCCCTGGCACAGTGGATATACCTATTATCCTGGCACTTTGAGAGTTCAAGACAGAAGGATTGCTTAAGCCCAGTAGTTCAAGACTAGCTGGGGCAACATATTGAGACCTTGTGTCTACAAAAACAGCAGAAAAGAAGATAGCTATCTGACTTGCTTCTCAGACCTGTAAGAGCTTGATTTTCTGGGGGCTGCAATAAGTCAATACTAGACAAACTGTCAGGGCTAAGAGTCAGTAGATCATATTGAAGACAGCAATGACAAATAATATTTTCAAGAGAAAAAAAATTGAAATTGCTAGTTAAAGCAGGTCAAAGTCTGTATTAGTTATCTGTTGTCATAAGAATGCTGTGTAACAGACAACCACTGTAGGCATGAGTGATAATAAGCGTTTATTGCTCATGCTTCTTAAGTCATATGGGGTGCTACCTAAGTGGCTTTACTGAGCTTGGCTGGGCTTACTCACAAGACTGGCTGGCTGCTAATTTAGACTGGCCTTAACCATATTAAAATCCTGCTCTGTTCTACATGTCTCTAATCCTGCAGCAGGCTATCCTGGCTTGATCTCATGGTGAAGAAAGGGGCACAGAAGACGAAATATTCCCCTAAGTCTCACTCACCAAAACAACCCCTCCACAGTGCAAAACTAAATAGCAAAGAAGGTAAAGAATTGGAACAAATTATGCCATCTATCACAAAGCCAAATTGAGAGCATGCAACAGTTAAAAAAGAGAGCTCATGAACTTTCTTAATTTTAATTTTTAGTATTTAGAGATGGGATATTCCTGTGTTCCCAGACTGTTACACAGGGAGTATTCACAGTTGCAATCAATGTTCTCTAA